TAGAGCAAAAGCGCATCCGGAAGAAAATCCGAGAGACCTTTCCTTATCACTGACGGGAAGGAAGTCGATCCTCCCTGGCCCGGATCAAATCCACGGACGAAGATCGAAGAGCAGAAGTTTCGGTGCTTTCTCCGCGAGACCTTCAGGAGAGGCAGAAGAACTCCACGTAGCTCTCACGGCTCGTCGATCTAGTCGTCGACAGCTCGTCGATCTCTTGTTTCTGAGAATTTCCCGAGATCGGTGGGGCATGGGCGGACTCCGAGGCCGTGACATCGTAAATATAGAACGTAAAACAATATCACGATGTCGGCGGGAGAAGTCAAACATATCAATCGGGCCGGCGGCACCGGATATCGCTGGCACGTCCGATGGTCGTCCTCGACTTCAGTCCCGCCGTCGTCTTGCTCGAAGTATTACGACCCGTGAGGAGTTTTGAGCCCACTCGAATCTATGTGCGACCTGCACCGGATGCACGGGGACGTCGTCGGCAGTGTCGCAACACGCTCACCGGAAGCAAATAAAATATTGAAGAGAAAAATTGCAGTAGAATCCGAGTTTGACGACGAGCTCTCGGAAGTTAGTTGCTGTACGGTCTCCGCTGATTGGTTCGTCGGCAGTAGCGCTCGTGGACCGCTATCGGAAGCGGAGGCACAGCGTTCGCTTTTCTTCTTCCGAGCGGTTTAATTTCCTCGGGGATTCCATTTTGCAGAGAACGGCCAACAACGACCCTTTCCCTCCCGGATGATGGCGATCGAGCAAGTCATCTCGCAAACCTGCGACGACGTGGTTAACGGGAAAATGCAAGCGCTTCTGCAGAACTCGGAGTTGATTTCTTTTTTGCGGGGCGTGGACCTGCTCTTCCCCTGCTCCAGAAGGGTGGGGGCAGAGGAAACTTTCTCGGCGCACTTCTCGAAAATTTTGCGCTCCCCAGCTCCGCTCCTCTACCGCTGCAGACGAGCGATTTTCACAGCGCTGAGTCTTCGACGAGACGCCTGACAGGCGTTTCTCGCATGTTCTTGAGTTTTTCGGAGCTCCCGCATTTCCCGCATGGAAACCCTTAGGAAAACGCTTCGACGTATCAATCCCAGGGGATTTACGGCCATGAAGGAGCAGCGAATAGCTGTAATCCCGAACTGAAGCTTGGAATCTCCGTCGATCTCGGTGTATTTGTGGCGAACCGGTCGCCCGAGATGGGCACTAGATCGTGCCGTGTTCGCGTACGGCCAGCTCTGCGTGACAGCCAGCTTTGATAACAGCGACGGATGGGCGACATCGAGTAGTTCATCGAAATTGCGGCCGTATTATTAGATGGGATCGATTCTGCACAGAAGACTCTGTCGTCGATGGGTCCGCTACCGCGCCTCGGAACCCGCGCGCGTTGCCCTCGCTCAGGAGAACCCCCTTTTCACGGTGGTCTTGCGTGACAGAACCTCATTGATCGGTAAAGGTCAATTGAAATCTGATATTTCATTGGAGATAACTGCGCCGACTGTCCGCGTGTTGCGTGCCCTGAATTCCCCTTCGCGAGTTTCCCGCTGATACCTCCATCCTCCTCCCGCTGATCGGGGTTCTTCGCTAGATCGTGCTGACGAGATTCGGAGTGATTCCGAGATGTGCATAAGATCAATCGCTGGATTGTCGAGGGCGATCGAGAGAGTGCCAGCATTGTGTTCGTGTAGCTCTCCTTATAATTTGGGTTTTTTCGGTGATCACGGATTCCGCATATCGTCCGATGCAAGCTCGAGGGTTTCCAGTGGCTTGCAAGATGGGTGAGGCGTCGCACGGAGCCGTTGTCTCATGCAAATGACGCGGATCCTATCTCGGAATAGAATTCGGAATGGATTCTTAAACCCACGACGCCGGATCTCGGATACCGTACACTGCGGATCCTCCCGCTGCCGTTCGGCAATGCTGGTCACGTGCGATGCCTTGCGTGAGGGAGGCACTTATCAAAGAATTGTCAGCGGGGAAAAGCCGGAGAGCGGGAAAGCAAACCAATGACACACATGGCGAGATGGGTATTCTGGCGAGCTCACCCACATCAATACCGTACAGAAAGACCGCGACAACGCTATATATCTGGAAAGAATTACTGAATTTTTGCCGCCGTTGCGGAGAATCTGGACTTCGAACGATCTTCATTCTTCCGAAAACGGTCAACCACTGGCGTCCGGGAGATTCACACCCTGAAGGCAGGGCAAGCCTCGGCAACGTTCCGCCGTCATGAGCAGCAGAACGGGTCGCTGTGATCAGGAATCGGTTTAGGGTTCCGCATCGCCGATTCCCACTAAATGATGTTCATGAACTTCATTTGGGAAGCGGTGAACACGGCAGAGAACAGGCTCGCGATCGATTGTGTCGAATGTATGTAGTGGCTGGGATTCCCAATGGAGTCGTTGGAATGCACCCGCTCGTGGTCCTTAACGTTCCGAATCCGCCGCGGGTTATCTCAGCGGCGCGGCGCTGGCGTTCCCCTGACATGAGTCTCCTCCGGAGTCGCCGCCTTCGACATTTGTATGCAAGAAGTTCGAGCTTGAACGTTCGGATTTGTATCGAGAGGGAACGAGGGAAGGATGGACGATAAAAAAAAATCGTTCAGATGGACGGTCGATGCCGCGTGTCTGTCTCGAAAAACTCACGAGTTGTGCTTCACAGAGATGTCCGAAAGATGAGGCATGCCGCCCGCCGGTCTGACATGCCTACGCCAGAAACAATGACTTACGTAGAACTTCTGCGGTTGGTAGCTTGATTGTCCCGCTGCGACACCCGAGTGCGGAATAATTTAATTGACAGGAAAACGGTGCATCGGAAGCGTTCCGCTAATCATAGGGTATGAGCCAATCGTCCGGAGAGAAATTTCGAGCGCATTTGGCCGCTCGGATGTCGATGTACAGCCCGCGGACTTATGAGGGCGACGAGAATTCGGTCTTCCGAGGTTCATTGAATTCGAGCAAAAATATTCGCAAACCTCCCCAAACCTTGAATCGTTCGACGACTCCGACTTTTTCGCGTCGATTCCATGATTCCTCGGGGCTAACCAGAGGCAAGAGTTGTGGTGCTGCGTCTGCGTTGGGCGGGATCTAGGATCTGGTCCTCGGCGCGTGCGGAAAGCCGATCGTTCCCTGAATCCAAGCTTGGACCGGGAAGACTACGAGCGCTGACCTTCAGAAGCCCCGGAGTATCTACCGGTCATGCAGTCACGGATCACCCGTTAAACGATAGCTCGCTCGAATCAGACCTTTAAGCGAGAGTGCCGTGCTCAGTCAGTAATTCGATCGGGCAGCTTGGGAAGCACCGGCCGTTCATGTCCTGGGAAAAGTTGTTGACTCGGCAACTTCCTAATAGATCTCTGCGACAGCGTTCTTCTGGGGAAACCCGCACTCGGTTTCGCACTTCACACGCCGCACCCCGAATCACCGCCTCGACATTTAACAATATAGCAGCGAAATTGCTTCCTCTGAAAATTCGTCCTCCCACTCCTTCGAAGATAATCGCTATCGATGATAATAGCTCCCAAAGCTACTGATGAATGAGAGGAGAGTTCCCGTGTTTGTTGCTCGGACCCCGACCCACGCATCTCTCTCGGCCGCCGAGCTAGCAAGCTCCTTCAAAGCAACATATCTGGCTTCTATCAGGTTGCGCTGGTTTTCGCAAGCACGAGAAACAGACCTTTAATGAGAATTATGAAGAGCTGGGGAAAATGGAGAACCCAGAAACAAAACCGAGACGACCGGGGCAACCGAGTGATCCGGCGAATCGACCTCTGAGCCCGAGTAGCCGACAACACGGAAGAGCGGTGGGCGCATCAAAAGGTCCCGTGTGCCCGACGCGACGCCGCAGTGCATCCGATTTCGTGAATGCTTGCCTTCAGGGGATGCGACTCGAGCAAGGAGCAGAATTCCTGCCATGATTAGCCATTCGGGGGCTCGCACGTCTTCTCCGCGGAAGTCCGGAGGCTTTATCTCGGCTGCTCCGTCTGGGTTTGCTAGAAGAAACTTCCGACGTGAATACCGCCTGGGTTCGCAGACCCAGGCCCAGGTCCATCCGAACTCATATTCATACTCTGGATGAGTCCGTGGAAGCTAGATATGACTTATGACTCGCCACAGGAGTCGGAATGATTGCGCCTACCATTCTTGAAGTTGCTGCCATCGGTGTATTCGTTCGAGGCGAAAAGTCGGAATAGTGTTTTGCCTTGTTTTGGGTGTTTCCTTCTGAATCGATTCCCCGAGGAGAGCCTCTTTTGCTTGCTTGTTGTGTTCCCTCGCTGCTTTTCGTGTGGCTCCTTTTCGTTTCGGACGGAGTCGGCGAGTCGCTCGAACACTGTGTTGTCGTAAAACGAGTCGAATCAAACGAGTCCATATCAAGAGCGCCCGCTCTACTCTCGGTGTATTTTCCGCGACGTTGACGAGAACGGAGTAGATTTCCTGATGCAGTCACGAGAGACAGATCTTTGAAAGGATGGATCGAGGAAAAAAAGGAGCACGCTTTGCGACGAGTTCGCGGACGGCAGTGAAGAGGTTCCGTGGAACAGGAGGAATAAGTGAAGCAAGGACTGTAGCACACAGACTATCCCCATCCGGGGCGATATTGTCACTCAGATACGTCGCAAGACTTGGGAATAGAAACGGAGACGTACGGGCGGGAAAGGGGTGTGTGTTTCGGGGTCTAATCGTATATCTTCGTTGTTCCTAAAGAGGATGCTTTAGACGCCCGTAATCCCTTAATGACCTCTTCCGTGGGCTCGGCTCGACGGTGGCCACGGGGACCGGAAGAAGAAGGGCGAAACGGATCGGTCGGGAACCGACCAACCAGAGGGATCCCGGGGATTGGCTCACTTCCTGACTGCCTCCAACCTAGAGAGTTGTCGCGTCTGCAGATCCCCGTTCCGAGAGGCAATCTTCTCAGCTGTTCCGTTTAGATGCGGCGAGATGACGGCTCTCGATCTCGTTTGCGAGAGCGATCAATTCTTTCCTAATTCTCCTCTTTGTTCCCCACAGATGATGCAGCACGCTTGGAACAACTACGTGAAGTATGCATGGGGACAGAACGAGCTCAAGCCCATCAGCAAACAAGGACACAGCGCCGGCATTTTCGGCGATTCGAAGCAGGGAGCAACGATCGTCGACGGTATGGACACGCTGTACATCATGGGTCTGCACGACGAATTCGCCAGAGGACGTGAATGGATAGCCAACAATCTCGAAATAAAGGACTTGGTAAGACAACGATAGGTTGAGATTCGGATTCTAGAAGCGCGAGTCCGTCGGATCCGACGGATTAAGCGTGTGAGGTGTGCTAGAGCCGTCGCAGAGTCGGGCTGGTAGGCCGTAAGGCCAGGTCTGGGGTCGTTCAGAGGGGATCGCGACCTTATTCCTGGCGGAGGCCTTCATCGTTAAATTCAACAATCGACGTTGATACTGAGCTCCGGAGCCTAATAGGGAATATCGAGGCGGGATGATCCTCGCTGGCGCTCCCCAGAGCGGGATCCTCCCCGGGAGTCCTACTCCGAGATATTCGATGAGGGAATCTTACCCGTTTTGTGTTGATAGGGCGTCCTTTCTGACTAGAAATTTCCCCACAGGATTCTGAGATAAGCGTTTTCGAAACGAACATCAGATTCGTGGGAGGCTTGCTCACCTTGTACGCCTTCACCGCCGATCCCGTAAGTACCGTTCCCCGCGCTTCTCTTCGAGGAACTGCCTTCGTCTGCTTATTATTTTTGTTGAGAGCTATTCTCCCGGAGCTGTCTGAATTCCCACGAGCTGTCAGACTTGGAACGCTGAAGCCAATCCCGCGGACACTAACGAAACTTGATCATTGCCCTTTTGCAGATGTTCAAAAAGAAGGCGGATGAAATAGCGACGGCACTGCTGCCGGCGTTCGACACTCCGACCGGTATCCCGTATGCCCTGATAGTTCCAAAAACGTGAGCTGAGTTCCTATAATGAGCGCTCTGGTGGTCCGAAACGAATTATGATGCCCCGCTTTATATGTCGTCCGCTCTGCTCGGACTCCCTGGTGACGGACATGGTCGCGGCCGTGATCCTCCCGAATAGTTCATGTCCCGTCCCCAGCGGTGCTCGTCTGTTACTCGCCGTATTAATTTCTTCTCCTCGGATTCCAGACAAAAAGTAAAAAATTACGCCTGGTCGTCGGCTGGCTGCTCGATCCTGGCCGAGTTCGGGACCATGCATCTCGAGTTCGACTACTTGAGCGAAATCACCAAAAAACCCATCTACCATGAGAAAGTAATGAAAATTCGCCGGAAACTCGCTGAAGTCAAGCGACCCAGTGGGCTTTATCCCAACTACCTCCATCCCAAAACCGGCTCTTGGGGTCAAGGTGAGCGTTTGAATCACGATTTTTTATTACTTATTACATTTCTCTGCTCCGTCATTCATTTTGCCTCATCGACCGATTGATTACATAAACACATTTTTTGGAGCACGTCTGCCGCATCGCAACCCTCCAACATCGATTCGATCTTCGTCCAACACAATCGTTTTGGCTTTTGCAGAATTCATCTCAATGGGGGCCCTAGGCGACAGTTTTTATGAGTATCTTCTCAAAGCTTACGTACAAAGCGACGGTGAAGATGTTCAAGCGAAAGAACTCTTCGCGAACGCCATGGATGCAGCTGAAGAGCATCTTCTGAAGAGGTCAGAGCGCGAGGGGATGCTGTTCCTCTCGGAAATGCGATATGGCAAAAATGAGATGAAGATGGACCACTTGACGTGCTTTGCCGGAGGCCTGTTCGGATTGGCTTCGACTTACTACCAAGACAGAGCCGAGAAGTAAGTTAACGTCTTGCCGTCGTCAGCGATATCGCGCATGTCCCGATCTCTTGGCAGGCTTCTCGAGCCCCTTCTCTCGGCCGGAGCCGACTTCTCTGACCCCAAGACCATGCCTGACCGAGCACTATTAGATTTTCATCCGATTTTTCATCTGACGAGAATGAACTCCTCGATTTGACAGGGTTCAAGCCAGAGAAAAGCCCGAAACGTTTTTCGTGGATTCCCATCATTGTTCTACTTTTAACTCTTTTCTCTCCTCGATCTTGCAGGTACTTGAGAATCGGCGCCGAGCTTACGAGTACATGTCACCAGTCCTATAACAGATCGGACACCGGACTAGGTCCCGAAGCGTTCAGATTCAGCCCGAAAACCGGAGACGCCAAAGCGATTCGACAGACCGAAAAGTACTACATCCTGCGACCCGAAGTCATTGAATCCTACTTCTATCTGTGGCGAATCACAAAAGATCCCAAATATCGTGATTGGGGCTGGGAAGCCGTGATCGCGCTCGAGAAATACTGCCGCACGCCAGGCGGTTTCAGCGGCATCAGAAATGTCTACCAGAAGGACTCGATCAAGGACGATGTCCAGCAGAGTTTCTTCCTCGCGGAGACGCTCAAGTATCTCTATTTGTTATTCTCAGAGGACGACCTTCTGCCCCTCGACCAATGGGTGTTCAACACCGAAGCTCATCCTTTCCCAATTAGGAATAAGAACCCCATTTATAGCAAGAACAAGCTATGAAATTCAAATGAGGCCGCATGAACGTCAATGGAGAGGATCGGTTCGGCGCATAAACCGTCAGATAGGCGGAGGTCACGCACGATTCCGGACAGACTCTCGGCCGCCAGCTGATGGTGGGGTGGTCGGCGATTCATCGCCAGATCTCCATTGAAGCATCGCCTTCCTCATCCCTGGGCTTCAATGCTGAAAAGTATCTCCGTCTTCGAGGAAAATATCGCAAGATTCGATCGAGCTTGATGCGGAATTCGCAACGCATTGAGTCAAAGCCGCTCATGAGAATTCCGGGGAAAAATCTGGGGGCTTCTAAGATTCATTGGGTGGTCGCGCCCAAACTTCACTTCTATTAGTTGTTTTACGTTATGTTGCTCAAAGTATATCGTGTTTCCCCCGCCATATTCCCTTTTTTGCGCGAATGCGTCGTCCCTCACATGTGTTAGTTGTTCTACTGATGATGATGATGGTGATCAAGGATTATTATATAATGATGATAGTGATGATGGAGATTGCGAGATGATCATGCCCACCACGAGAACCCAAATGAGGATTCACGACGAAGATCGTGTCAGGGACAAGTACGGGTGCTCTGATGGTGAGAAGCGAGAGTAGCCTTGTGACCTCGAATCTAAATCCCCCGTTCCGAATGCTTCTACCAGCTTGTACGAGGCGTTTAACGGGAGGTAAAACTCAAATTAATTCCGAGGTCTATGAAACTGGATGCCGATGTCGACATGGTTGTCAGTTAGCGTTATCCAAAGCATCCGATCCGGCAGTGGGAAGGTTGCGAGCTAGACGAGTAGTGTCTCGAAGACGACAGTGGGAATGATCGAAAGGACTTTGGGTTTTTTACCTTCCTCCTTTACTTTCTGCCAATTCTTCCGATGATGTAAATACGGACTCGAATTTCTCTTATGGAGTACTCGCTACATTAGACCTCGTCTGCTCCCATTGGGGGGCAGCGAAGTTTTCCCCCGGTGGAGCTTGATGCAATTTTGAATGATTATGATCCATCGTGGTGAAATGATGGACGACACCAAAAAAATGTGGCAACAGTATTTGTCTCAGTGGAGCGGTCTCCAATCGACCTCGGCAGCTCGCTCAATGCTGAAGCAGCTAAACGACTTTATTATGATTCATTTTAGTCCAAGTTGCTTTCGGGGCTCGTGATTAGAGCCCCTGGGTGGGAAACCATGATGATAATGATTAGGATGATGATAATGATGATTAGGATGATGATAATGATAATGATATTACTAATTGATGTGGATTATGGTGATGTCGAGTGGAAGATTAGGAATCAAACGAGGAGATTACCACGTGCTGGTGATGTTGTAAAGTGTGTAAATAAGGCTCCTTGGATAAACACGAATGATCTAGTTTGCCTGGTACACCCACAGCTTCCTTATTCCACCCTCTGTATCGATGAACTTACACTGATTTCATCTTGGTTCAGCCGTAGCTGCGGCCATTTTCCGACCAAAGAGCGACGTGAAGGTTATCCATGCCTTCGTCTGGTAAAGAAACAGATTGGAACTCTCCGTCTGTGAATCCAACTCAGCGGAATGCCTAGGAGGGAGGGGGCATTATTTGACCACATACGAAGACTCAAAGTACGCGACTGGCCTTGATAAATAATAATCAATTGAGGTTCATCCGAAAGCTCTGAAGGTTCCTGCATCTATGGTCCTCGATATGCGCTGAGGAGTTTCAGGCTCATACCGAATTCTCAAGAGTGTCTGAGTCAAAAGGTGATTACGTTCCGAACCACAAGTCGAGTTCCGATCGAGATAAGGGGCACGAACCTGTGGCGGGGGCAGTCCAAACTCGAGGATCTCTTGGAATGCTTTGTCAATGACGCGGGACGGAGCTCTGTGGATCCGGGATCACAGTGAAGGTA